CCCTGATCCCACCATGGGGCCAAACCTTCCCCCTTGAGGCCGCCCTCCGGTGGCCCATCCTGGGAGCTGCAGTCCCTGATCCCCTCATCGGGCCAAAGGTTCCCCCTTGGTGCTGCCTTCCGGTGGCCCATCCTGGGAACCAGCCAAGCCCGAATGTATTGAAAGGTTGCTGTTAACCGCCTTTAGGCCCAGCCTCACACCGCCCCGGAACATCGGGCTTCTGCATAAGCCACATTCCCTTAGCCACATTCCCAGGGGTCCTCCATCTTTTTGACCTGGGGGCCAGTTGAAAGCTGCAGGTGCTTGACGTGGGCCGGAAACGTGGTGCCTGGTCGTGAGCATGGGGCGGCGAGGTTCCCATGAGGGGAGGCGAGGCGAGCCGAGGCAACGCAGCTGAAAGGGGCACAGGTTTGATCGCCTGGGGGTCTTTTCCTCCGAGCAAGCAAACCGCTGCCTCCTGGGGTGGGTGGTAACAGGTGTGGGCGGGAGCCTGGCGGGTCCAAATGAGCATGGAGGGCCGGAACCCGTCCCCAGGTTGTATTGTGAGGGCCGATGTCTTAGCGGCACTCACCCCAAGCCTGCAGCGAGTGTGGCACAGGGGTGAGAGATTTCAACAGGGATTTGGGAGACCTGAGTCTGAATCTCCATTTAATCACAACTCGATTACTCGCTTTCCGCGCTAGCCTACCCCACAGGGTTGTTGTGCGAGGCAGAGATGGAGAGCGGGAGGGTCATGTTGCCCCCTTCGGCTCCTTGCAAGGAGGAATATGAATTATATGTATTTACAAATGGCTAAATGTGCTATTTTGGCTCTTCTGGCATCAGGGTTCACATGGGCAGGGACAACTGAAAGTGTTCAGAACCAGGGACCTCCAGAAATCACTGGACTGCCATTCCTACCATCCCACACCATTCTCTTTATTGGCCAGGGCTGATGGGTCCTGTATTCCACCACATCAGGACTGAGCATTTCAGAGAAACGAATGCTTTGCCCAAGAAAAGGTCTAACTTTAAAACAAGCGCGTCTCTCTCTCCGGCCTCCGTCCTTCCTGCCTGTGCAAGGACGTACTCAGATGCCTTTTCTGCATAGACATTAAAACCTTTATCCCGTAAGTTATTAAAGACTTTCACCAGCTTTAGGGGACAGCTTTCATTTCCCCTCTCCGCCTTCCCTCGGTGGATATTTGCATGTTCACTCGCTGAATTCCGCGCGATTGACTCGCACGGAGGAGCCCCTAAAGGATCAACAGCCTTAAAATAAAACAAAGCACACTTCTCCTTCAAGTGAACCCGGAAGGCATCCAGAGAAGTATTCTCCCAACTATTTTCCTAGATCTACGTCCAGCTGTCCCGCAGTCCCATCCTCTCCCATTAGCTTCCTGGGATTCGTAGTTCCCGTTCCTCTTCCGGAGCGCCCCTCCGCGCCGCCTATTGGCTGGAGCAGGAAGGGGCGGGCGGGGCCTGCCCCGCGCGTGCGCCGCGGGGCAGCCGATGTGGGCTTCGGAGCGGAGACGGCGGCATGCGGGCGGCGTAGCGGGCATGTCGGTGCTCAGGCTGCAGGGGGCGCTGCTGCTGCTGCTGCGGGGTGAGGGGCTTCGCCGGGCGGGGGCCCGGGGCCCCTGCAGCCGGGGGGCCGGGCGCCCCTCCCGGGAGGGCTGCCCGGTGCGGTTCAGGCAGCAGCCCCCGGCGCTGGGGAGGGTCACCCCCTTCGGAGCGGGCTCCCTGGGCGGGGGCGCTCTGCCCCCTCGCAGCAGGGCCGGAGCGGGGCAGCGACCCGCAGGCCTGCCCTGGGGAGGGGCCCCTCGCCGCGCCGCATGGCCGGGCCGGGCCTGCCCGCCAAGCCCCCCGGCGCAGCCCCCTGCCCGCGCAAAGCTCGGGGGGGCACGTGGCCGGGGAGGCCTTCCCCGCGGGGGTCCCAGGAAGCCGCCCGCGAGGCGGTCCCGACGCGGCTTCCTGGAGGCCTCCTGGAAGCTTGAGGACTGGTGGCATGGTGCTTAGATCTGGGATTTTAGCGCATGTCTGCTTGGCATGCAGGAGGCTCCCAGGTTTCAGGTAGAAGGGAAACCCTTTGCCCCCTTGAGTTCCACTCACGTGAAGTGAACTTTCCACAGGTTGGTTGAAGAAGGGGCAGCAAGCCCGTGGCTGGTGGGAGAAAGCAAGCGGGTTCGGTCCCTTTCTAGGCAATATCTGGAATCGCTTTATACCTCGTCTTCAGAACCGACAGCCCCGTAATGTGAGCAATTTCCGTTGCCTTGCAGAGAGTCTGCAAACTGGACGAAGGAGTTATTCTTCTACCTGGGTGAAGGAAGAAGCCCGGAGAAGATGGGTGTCGGAGCAGGCGGAGCTGCTGGAACGTATGCTAATTTTATTTTTTATTTTTTTTTTAAAGTATGTGCTAATACTTCAGGGTAGCATATATGGAGAACTGAAAAATAAATTAAGAGGAAAGGGTAAATCATATAGGCCTAGATCTGTGGTTTCTAGTAAACGTAACCAAAACTGTTTATTTAGACCATAGGTATTCCCACAAATTCTTACTTAAAAGGTAATTATTAACTGTAAAACAAGGATCAGTTAAGACATATAAATTAAACAGAGTATGTGCTACAGCAATTCCTTAGGAAATAAACTTAATACTAAACATACATGCCTCTATAAAATCAACAACTGACAGTATGTTGTAAACACTGTTTGCCAATAATTATTACTATTAACTATGAGTTAATTTTAATCTTGATTTAGTAGCTAAAGCAAAATATATTTAGCTGTTTACCTAAGCCAGACTCAAGATAGAGGTAAGATATGAATTGAATGCAGTGAAAACTTTATGGAGTCAAAGACATTTTAAGGTTCAATCCATGTATTCCTGCCAGAGAAACCCTGTGGGATTCTGTGACAAGGTTTTGAAATGACTGGACAGAGGAGATGCGCTGGATGTCCTTTCCCTGGATTCCAACAAGGCTTTTGGCAATGTGCCCCATGATACCCTGGTGGAGAAATTGAGGGGTTTCTGGATAGACCGATTCACTGTCCGATGGATTAGGGCATGGCCGACTGAGCGAAAGCAGAGGGTAACTGTTAGTGGGGAATCATCGGGATGGCGGCCAGTGACAAGCGGGGTCCCCCAGGGCTCTGTCCCGGGACCGATCCTCTTCAATCTTTTCATCAATGACATGGAAGAAGGGGTGAACAGTCTGCTGATCAAATTCGCAGACGACACTAAAACTGGAGCAGTGGCCACAACTGAGGAGCAAGTACTCCGGATCTAGAAGGATCTGGACAGACTATGGAAGTGGGCAGGAGACAACAGGGTGGCGTTCAGTGTGGGTAAGTGCAAGGTCTTGCACTTGGGGCATAGGAGTGGGTGTCATAAGGACAGGTTAGGGGACCAGTGGCTGGAGAGCAGCACTTGTGAAAGGGACCTCGGGGTGCTGGTTGACTGCAGGCTGAACCTGAGCCAGCAGTGGGATGCGGTGGCCAAGAGGGCGAACGCCACCCTTGGATGCATAGCCAGAAGCGTGGCTTCCAGATCAAGAGAGGTGTTACTGCCACTCTGTACAACTCAGGTGAGGTGCACCCACAGCTGGAGTCTTGTGTTCAGTTCTGGCCCCCTCATTACAAGAGGGATATAGCCAGGTTGGAATTGGTGCAGCAAAGAGGCGAGACTGAGGGAGCTGGGCCTCTTCAGCCTGGAAGAGAGGAGACTCTTGAGGGGACCTGTTAGTGGCATACACGTATGTGAGGGGATGTCACACGGAGACTTGTTGTCCCCTGCAGAGGAGCGCAGGATGCGTCCAACGAAGCAAAGCTCAGGGTACCAAAATTGAGGCAACTCCCAGGTTCCACTGGCTGGTGGGAGAAAAGTCCTGGCCACTTTTGACATTCCCGGCTAATATGGGGTGGCACCTTTATTATTTTTAATTATCACATCTAGTATTAAATTTTAATTATACCTAATTGCCAAAGCATTTGGGATGATTCACAAACCCAAACCTAACCCCATAAAATGTACCATAGCAAAACAATATGATAATAGTTGTTGTTGTTGTTTGTCGCGAAGTTGCATCTGCCCCATCGCGACCCCACGGACAACCTTCCTTCAGGCCCTCCTGTCCCCCACCATCTCCCTGAGTCCACCCAAGCTCACGCCGACTGCCTCAGTGACTCCATCCAGCCACCTCATCCTCTGCCGCCCCCTTCTTCTTTTGCACTCAGTTGTTCCCAGCATCAGGCTCTTCTCCAGGGAGTCCTTCCTTCTCATTATGTGCCCAGCGTATTTGAGTTTCATCTTCAGGATCTGGCCTTCTAAAGAGCAGCCAGGGTTGATCTCCTCCAGGACTGACCGGTTTGATCGCCTTGCGGTCCAAGGGACTCGCAGAGTCTCCTCCAGCACCACAATCCAAAGGCCTCAATCCTTTGGCGCTCAGCCTTCCTTATGGTCCAGCTTTCACAGCCATACATTGCAACTGGGAAAACCATCGCCTTAACTAT